GAAGTAGCTTTAAAATTCATGGTACAAAATCCAATGAAGTAGCTGCATCACACAAGTCTCAAATTCAGAATGCTAATAAAAAAGGGAAAGAATAAGATTATCATGTATGAATCAAACACAAACATTTTGCTAAGAATTTCTTCCTCAAATCAGCCAAAAATATTTCAAGCAGATAATATTCCTTAATTGAATACTAGATTTTTGCAAGGATGTATTAGAACAGAAAATATCATAATCTCTTTATATTAATGAGATAAAGAGAATACATATTCTAACCGACTCGAACCATAAATTTAGGATTGTATTACACTCAGTGATCATGTGTCCATGGCATTTTTGAATCACCTGACTAATTACACTCAGTGTATAAGTTTTGTGTATTAATAATATATTCTTTGTTTTTTTTTACTATAAATTACCCGCAGTACAAATAATTAATTAGCTTCACCTAACTAGGTTGATAATGGTTTATATAGTCTAAAAACACTAACCACATGTAAAAAAAAAAAAAACCCTTAAGAAATCAAGTGCAATAGATTGTTTTGATTTGCTCTCAGTTGCAAATCCTACCATGATTGGATTGTGTTTTCAACCGAGAATCACATAGCTGAACAATCCAAAAATAAGCATATGATCCATTGATTTTGACAAAAACCAAGAAGCTAAACCCACAGGATATATGTGTAAAAGGCTATCAGGAGTTTATATCACTGGCCTATAACAACCTCTCTTCCTTAAAGTTGTTTCTAAACTCATCCTAATTCTCATTTATAAAATATACATGGAGCTTTTGGATTTATCAATAAAAAGAAAATCTTCCCATTGTTTATGTAATAGAAATGATTGACCCTTAGATAATAGGGAAAAAAAAATAGATAAAAGTTATGAGAATTGGTCCCGACATCATCATCATCACCATCAAAGAAAATAAAGGGGTCTCAGCATATTCCAACTCCTTTTTAAACTCAGACTCTCTTATTTCATAGTTTGGATCCGAAACATCATCATCATCACCATCAAAGAAAAAATCTCTATAAATCTGATACATCTCGGGCATTTTAACATCATTTACATCACTTCCATGTTGGAGAGATTCACTCAGATTTTCCCTATGAAAGTACCAGATCATGTATGATTGATTTATGATGAGCGCTAAAAAGTGCGCAATTAAACCCCTTAAGCTTAGGTATTCTAAGACCTTTATCTATCTTACTTTTCCGTTTTAGACTAATTTCATGTTATTACCCTTTTCAGGCACTTATCCCAAAAATAAGTTAATTCAGCCAAATAAAAGCTTTAAAGAAGCTAACTCAAGCTGGATGGAAGAAAGGAGCAAAGTGGAAGTAGAATGAAGCAAAGTGTGGAAATCAGCAAGTTCGATCGATTACAACATTTCTTCGATCGATCGAAGCAACATCGATCTAGGCATTTCAAGATAGATCCAAGCAACTAGCCTTATCCAAAAGATCTTAGCATGTTCGATCGATCGAACAATTCTTCGATCGATCGAACATATTCAACCTTATCCACATCTACCACCCCACCTACCACTTTTGTCTCTTTCCCAAATATCCCAAAATATCTCAAAGATCTTTTGAGGACTATTTTGTGATTGTTTTGAGATTCACTCTAGGATTCTACACTAGCACAGGCGCACACTAGCATTCATTTGTGGGGTACATGCTTTGTTGATTATTGAATTGGTTATGTCCCAATTTGGCTAGTAGTGCATTGAAAGCTTTCATTTTGACAAAAGTGGATAACAATCCATTTTTTTTGAGTAGCCGGGATTCTAGCCTCATCAAGCACTGAATTTCTCGCGCCGAAAGGTGGAGGGCCCAAACTTTAGGTTAATAATTAAAAGGTAAAAAAAAAAAAAAAATGCAAAAGCAATAAAAAAAAATAAAGACTTCTCCCAAAAGGTAAGAAATGGGAAATGATTAAATGTCGGTTGTTTTGATTTGTAACCTAGTTGATTTGAGCTTGTAAGTCCGTAGGGGTGTTCGAACACCTAGTGCCCTAAAGCCATCTGGTTTGGGAGTCATTGACCTAACACTCGACCTCATGAATCGCTAGAAAGCTTAATAGATCACTACATTGCACCATACTTCCATCTTTGATCCTCTAAAAAAATAAAAAATAAAAATCGAGTGAAAAGAATAAGCACACCTAGTTCAATAAAGCTTTAATAAAAGGTCCACTCTTTGTTTTGATGATCGGTGCTAGATTTGTGTGCTAGTTTAAGGGTAACGATGTGATCATTTCTTTAGTTAGCTTAGATAGCAACACATTTAATGTTAGTCCACTCAAAAAGATTCTAGTGTTGTTTTGATTTGAATGATCATTTTCTTAATGTGTGAAGGACCATACTTGTTTGCTTGATGTTAAAATTTTGGGAAATTGCTTAGAAATGATTACAAAATTACATACTTGAGGTAGTTTTCTCCCAATACTTGTTTGTAATATTGGTACCTCTTATGTGATAATGAGCTTAATGTTTGTGGGTATCATTTATGGAAATCCTCACGAGACTTCACTCGTCCACTAGGGGTAACCTAGGGGTTTAAAAGGCTTGTTGCATGTGCTAAATGCAATCGTGTTCCCTACGAAAGTGACGTTTTTCATTTATTGCTTTCTAGTTCATACTTGCATTGTTGTTTATTCCATTCCTTTACTTTAGAGTTCATTGCTAGGGACTAGTAATATTTAAGTTTAGGGGTGTGATGAGCGTTGAAAAGTACGTAATTAAACCCCTTAAGCTTAGGTATTCTACGACCTTTATCTACCTTACTATCTCATTTTAAACTAATTTTATGTTATTGCCCTTTTCAAGCACTTATCTCAAAAATAAGTTAATTCAGCCAAATAAGAGCTTAAAAGAAGCTAACTCAAGCTGGATGGAAGAAAGGAGTAAAGTGGAAGCAGAATGAAGCAAAGTGTAAAAATCAGCAAGTTCGATTGATCACAACATTTCTTCGATCAATCGAAGCAGCATCGATCTAGGCATTTCAAGATAGATCCAAGCAACTGGCCTTATCTAAAAGATCTTAGCATGTTCGATCGATCCAACAATTCTTTGATCGATCGAACATATTCAACCTTATCCCCACCTACCACTTTTGTCTTTTTCCCAAAATATCTCAGAGATTTGTCTTTATTCAAAAAGGCGCCACTAAGGATGATTGATCTTTGCAGTTTTTAATGGATCTTAACCATGTTCGATCAATCTCAAGAAAGTTCGATCGATCGAACCTCCTCAAGTCCGAAAAAAATAACGTTCTAGCTCATTAAAAGTTGGCTCAGGGTGCAATCAATTCAAGGACCATAGTGCACGAGTTCAGACCATTGGGGGTGACAATTGAGCCTCCTATATAAGGATTTTGAGTCACTTTTACATCATATGACACATATCTAAAATATCATATTCTTAGAGAGGAAGAAAAGAGAAGAGGAGATGCTAGAGATATATTATTGGGTGTTCTTCCATTCTTCTAGGGTTTCCATCAAGAAGGAGGTCTTGAGGGTTGAGTGTTGAGGGTTGAGGGTTGGATAACTATTTCAATGAGTGGCTAAACATCTTCTTGGGGCTAGAGTTATCCCTAAACATGCCTTCTAGACTCTAATGCTTTGTATTTTGAGGGAATTTGTGTTGTAACTTTGTCTTGACAATTATTTTATATATGAAGCTTGTTTATTCAATGATTTGTGTGGTTTAATACTTCCAATTGATCATTTCATTCTATCTATATGTCTATGTATGCTAGAATAGATGTTCATGTGTTTATCTCTAGATTTTGTGTTATTGATGCATGTCTATGTGTGTTGATGCTATAAATCTAGAGATTGTCAAGGCTTAGTGCTTAATAGAATACTATTATGGTTTATTTGATGGTTCATACTCATGTCTTGATGGATTATGCCTCTCCCTTAGTTTCTTTAGTTTAATTTTCATGCCCTTAGCTTAGTTGTAGTGTAGTTGCCTTAGTTGTTAGATGGGAGGACAATCCATGCTTGTTGTTTGATGTTCCATGCTTATGAATGCAAGTAGTATTATTCTCTAACCATGTGATGTGTTTGGATTGTGAGCTTAAAGGAAGGATTAATGGCTTAGTTTGATGTACTGTGTTATTCACTAGGTTGCTTAGACAATATATACTTAATTGGTCATCCATGCTTATTGAAACAATCAATCACACACTTTCAAATTACAACACATGTTTCCCCTCATTAATTATACATTGAATGTCTAGAATGGTGATATTTAGTGGTGACCTCTAGACTCCAAGATCTCACTCTCTTGTTTTTTCTAAATTTCACTTAAATTGCTTGTGTTACATTAAACTTGTTTAGTTTAGTTTGTAGTTTAATCAACCTAAACACACCATCTCTTGATCACTTGACCTACTAACCCTGTACATTGTTTCCATTGCTAGTGCACCTATAATCCCTTGGGACAATCCCTACTCACCCTAGCTATATTTTTAATTAGTGGTAGTAGTGTTATTTATAAATTTAAAACTTGGCCACACTATTTTGCATATCTTTTAGACGTAGGTGCTACGACCACACCAATTCATTCCATTTTCTAATAAATGCCTAAACACCATGTCAAAGTGTTAGTGCTTTGCATTTAGACAACAATTACAAGGGCATAAAATCTTCTCTGCATAGCCTGCATTCGCTTGCGCCTGATCAGCAAACCTCCGTGCTCCTTCTAAATACTTTGGATCAACTCTATAAAATTAAAGCTTTAACATTTAATTAAACATAAAATTAGTGTAGACAATATTAACTTTTATAAGCAAACTCCACAACATATAATAACCTGTAAGTCATGTGCATCCATTCTTTATCCATCACTATTTGCTTAATTATTTTGTCTAGTAACCTATCACTAAAGATAAAAAAAAAATTGTCAAATTGCAAAGCAGATTTTTATTAATAAAGCTTCTCAAATTGAAAGGCAGATTTTTATTATTAAACATAACTCTAGTCCATATAATCCTATGAAAGAAAATTTTAAATCCTTTTCTTGGTCATTGGCCAACTGCAAACATAATTAAAAGACAAGGGCTATAATGACAGAGGAAAAGGAGGATCCAAAAGCAAATCCGGGAAAATAACTTAATTTCTTTTAGCAACAATGATATGACACAGACCTTGTAGCACCAGGGAGCAAGTTCCTACAAAGACTTTCTTCCTTCTACTATCTTTTCTCTAAATCACTGTGAAAGAGAAAGAAAAATGTCAATGCGAAACAACAGTAAAAAACAATGATGTGCAAAGATAAAGGCCTGAAAATAATTGCAAAACAATATTTTAGTAAAGTAGTTGAAGCTCTCCCCTCATTGTTCACCAAAATAAACATATCTAGTTATAAGATCACATTTACTGACTTGTTAATATATTTTCAAATCTCCTTAACACGCTTGTTCTTTTTTGTCTTAACTCTTTCAACTACATCACATGTTATACAATTCATAGGTATAAAGTTTTGTACATAATTACGAAAATTTAGTTCATCTCGCAAAGTTAGAGTTGTGCAAAAAATAACAAATCATTATTCTACCACCAAATGCGTGCATGATTAATGAAAGATGAATTAGTGATGCACAAAAATCTCAAAGTATTTTGTAACGAAATCGAATAAATACTTGCTAAAGAAATTGAATTAAGATCAAAAAATTCTATAATAAAATAAAATAAAATAAAAAATTGTGTTTACAAAGATCTACTTCACTTACAGAGGGTGCAAATGAGAGCAAGTAAATGAAGTCACTTCAGTTGAGTTAAGATAAAGAACAAAAACTTCAGTATTTGATATCAATGAACACAACATACATCAACTACAAACCAAAAATTCAGTGGCATTATGAGGTGCAATCATCATGATTTTATAGTGTAACAGGAAATAGTGCTCAAACTATATAGCTTGTGCTTAGCTTAACTCATTATTTATTAAACAGTCATCCATTATGCAATATTTTGAAAAGTAAATCAAATGTCATCATAACACCATCGTGATGGCCATTCACCTGTCTTTTAGCCTTTTCATGAAGATACTATACCAAAATAATGCACTTTCCAGGTAGAATATTAATGAATTTACAATATCAAGTTACTCATAGTAATTGAGTTACTTCAGTTGCCTTTCTCTGAGCGCCTTCTATCTAAAATGAAAATAGAAGCTATTTCTACTAAGAACTAATTTATTGACTTGCTATACTTTTGAGTCTTAGGTTGATGTCGCCTTCTATATAGCTACATTAAGATAATTCTGAACCTCAAGGATTCCAAAAAAGACTTGTAATTGATCAACTGCTTTTTTTTTTTTTTTTTTTTTTTTTTTTTTTTCTGATTTGACCAGATAATCACTTCCAACTGGAATCTCAGATATGCTTACACAATAAGAAGAAGTCACCATACAGAAGAATAACTGGCTTCCAGGTAGTCAATTTTCTCCCATTTGTGCTTATCTTGTTGCCTTTTTATGTTACTATCTTGTTTCTATTTGATAAAGTGTGCAATTCTCCTAATGTCATGTTACTCTACTCCAGTTTTATCCACTAGACCCCAGTAAACTAACGATCACTTGTGCTGATTCACAAGTCAGGATTCTTCATGGAATTAATGTGATTTGCAAATATAGGGGTACGTGTTTATTCTTTTCTTTTGGATTCTTAATTCTTTGATGACTTGGTGGTTACTATCTTAATCCATGTATGTTTCCTACAATATGAGTTGTTGAAAGGCAGTTCTCTGCATTGGACGAGTAATGCATTGATAAATTGCATGCTCAAATGTTACTTTATTGCAGTGACTGTGTTGTGAAACCTAAATGGCTCTTTGAATATACATTTTTTCCTGAAAAAAGAAAAAGAAAAAAAACATTTGTCTCTTATTTATTTATGTTTATTGTTACTCCGTTCTTGATTGTGAACCTTTTTAAATCTTAGTGTTAAACCCAACTTCTTGCATAATAGAGGTGTCCGTGGGACCTTGTTGAACCTCTTCCATTTGTTCTTTATAATGGGACGTTTGGAGAGCTGGTGGTTGGAATTTCTTGGGGAAAAAAATAGGGTAATTTCAAACGAAAGATAATAATAATAATAATAATAATAAAGGACATACCAGTTCTTAGCACAGAGCAGTTTGAAACACATAGTCAAGCAAATCTTCCCTCCTCTATACATCTAACAAAATCCGCAAAAACCCAAATCAAATTACATCATTCCCACACACACAAACACACAGATAAACAAATTGACAAACAAAATTTGATTATATATATATATATATATATATATATATATATATATATATATATTAAACCTAATCGAACCTTGTGGGTCTTGCCATCTAGTTGGGGCAATTCGAGCTCGGGGGCAGTGGAAGGGTAGGTGACGGGGATGTCGAATTGGAGATTGAACTCGTACTTGAGGAGGTTATGGACGTACCAGCACTTGCCGGTCCACCGTGTGCCCTCTTCGCTGGTTGAAAACCCTAATCTCGTTGAAGCTTCTTTTAGGAAGTAATTGATAGAAGTTGGGCTTCCTTCTTCTTCTTCTTCTTCTTCTTCTTCTTCCTCCTTTTTTTTTTTTTCTAGTATATATATTTAAGCGGATTATATATATTAATTGTGCCCACCACCTATTTACTTTGGCAATTTGGCGGGGGAGTGAAAATGTCTGGGGAAAAAACTTTTATTACTTATTTACGGATCAAAAAAGGTGCCTTAGATGTGAAATTCATTCTTGATTTTTTAAGTAATTTTATTAATTGTGCTCGACCACCTGTTTACTTTGGCAATTTGGCGGGGGAGTGAAAATTGGGTGGTGGGAAAACTTTTATTACTTATTTACGGGGCAAAAAAGGCGCTTTAGATGTGAAATTTATCCACAAGCCCTTTAATACACCGTGAAAGCATGTCCTATAACATAACAATTACGAAAATTCTTTTAAAAACTCCATAAATGGTGGTAATCACAAGGCAAAATAAAAAAGTCCCGTAAATACTATGTCGTAAAAGCCCACTTTTCTTGTAGTGCCAGTTTTTCATGAGCAAACTAGGCACATTGAGATAAATTGCCATTACATTACAGAGAAGATCCAAGATGGTTCTATGACTACAAGGTATGTATATTCTGCACATCAGCTAGCAGACGTCTTGACCAAGCCTTTGGGGAAAGAAATCTTTGTTCCTATGATTTACAAGTTGGGAGTGCAAGATATCCACTCTCCAACTTGAGGGGGAGTGTTAGGAAGTCAAACTTTCGTATCTTCTATATTAAGAATAAATAATCGGTATATATTATCTTTCCTATTGTAATGCCTGACTTATAGCTAAACAACCTGTAATATAGTAAAAGATTCCTGACTTGTAGGAATGATTAGAAATCTCCTGTACAAATACACGATTCAGTATCAATAATATTTATTCAAGCAAATACAATCTTTTTTCCATCTTTTCAATTGTCCCCTGATTTACAATGAATGTTTAGATTTACCCCCTATGTGATGTTGTAAATAATTAATGTACGCTCAGCCCATGCATTATATTTTATGGAAAATACTTGCCTACTCACCGGTGAGTAGGTAATTTCTACTGACTAGGTAGGTGGTACAATAAAGTTATGACAAGTGTCCTAAATTTTTTTTAAAAAATATATAACAAAAATAGAATTAGAACTGGGTTAACCCATTTTTAATTGGATTGACATTATCTTTTACCTCATAACTGATATGATATAACACAATTTTTCTAAAAATACACTGTATACATCCTTGACCATTAGAATATGTGTCTAGGCGTTATAAAAAAATAATTGAATTGAGATATAACAATAGTGTTTTGAGGGTTTGGTTTTGCTCTCTACACTCTCAAAGTGGAAAATATGTGATTGATATAAAGAACCATTGCTAAAATCATAAAATGCTTCCAGTTTGTGCTTAAAAAAAAAAAAAAATTCTTACCCTTCTCTTGTCCAACTTAGGATTGTTGCAATGAGAATAAGGATTACTTTAGAAGTGGAGATGAATGGGTATTTTAATAACATGATTTTTGTTTGTTTATATATATATATGTATGTATGTATATATATATGTATTTATATTTGTATAGCTATGGTGAACTCTAAATTTTGATCTTTTGATTCCGAAGAACAAAAACAATATATTGTTTTAGGAAGATCTTGTTTTTAGAAGGTATTATTTTAGGAAGCTTGAATCCTAATTTTGTACAAGCCAATTTTAAAAACCTATTTTGTACCTCTGTATGTACAAGTGTGTGTATAGATATATATGGAAAGAAAGATGCGGTTAACCCGATTAAAATGGATTAAATACATTATGGTTAAATTTTTGTTATATTTTATACTTTATAAAATTTGAAACACTTGTCATAATTTTATTATGCCACCTATTGAGTCAGTAGAGACTTCCTACTCATCGGTGAGTAGGCAAATATTATCCATATTTTATAGTAGCATCAAGGCGAACAGAGATGACAAGCCCACTCTATAGGAAAGTGAACAAAGCAAGTAAAATTAGACATTTGTTAAACAAACTCAGCTTTTTGAGTTCTTTGGAAAGGAAAGAATTAAGGGTTTGAAATTGGGTTGAGGTGCAACTCTGTGTTTGCAATCTTACACACATATATATAGAGTCATGATCTCTTGCTCCCCATGGAGCAAGAAAATTAATCCACACTTTTTATATAGATCGTTAGATTAAATCTAACGGTCATTTTTCAAACCCACCTTTGGCCTTTCCTTTTAACACAAAACCATTTTCATCCTATTTTTAGTTTCTATATTTAATTTTATCATTACCACTTATATAACAATAAAATGTAATTATCAACTCTCTCTCCATTTCTTCGTGCGTTGAATTTGAATCCATAGACAAAAGTGTGAACAAATGATTACTCTCCATGTATAAGGTTGTGAAAAAAGCTTCACCTATTTTTTTTTTGGGTTACTTTGTTGTTTCTGAGGTGAATTCTACAGTCCCACTATAGTCCGTACATCATCATCCAATAATCAAACTCACAAATTCACAAACTCAATAATGAATTTCACCAAATGCCCAACTTCAAATTGAAATAGAAAGAATATTTGTTCAAACTTTAAATGAAATTTTCTTCAATTTCAAGTCTAATAAATCAATTCGATATTCCAAAATGCAATATTACAGTATATTTGTTGGTAAATTTACTTATACTAGAGAAGTATATTAATTTACTTATACGGAGAACAATAAGATTTTTAATATCAAACTGTTGTTGCAAAATTGAAAGATACGAGTATTGTTTTTCTTTTAAAAAAATATCTAAATAAAAACAATTTTTTAAGTAAAATATACCGGTATTATTTTTTTTTCAAAGGTTTCTATTTTTATTTTGATAATTACATTTTATTGTTAATAGGTGATAATAGTAAAATTAAATATAGAAACTAAAAATAGGGTGAGAGTGGTTTTGTGTTAAAAAAAAATACAGTAAGTGGGTTTGAAAAATCTAACGGTCTATATAAAAAAAAGTGTGAATTAATTTTCTTGCTCCACATGGAGCAAGAGATCAGGACTCCATATATATATATATATATGTATGTGACAACCATGGACCATATTATGTTATGCAATTTAATAGGTGATTATCCTTGCTTGAAAAAAAGAGTAATATTTTATTCTTCGAATTTAATGCCTTGGTCAAACAAAATCACAAGTGAGGTAAATTTGCTCTTTAAATTTAGTTAGCCAAATTACTCAAAGGATTAGCTGGCCATACATAATATTTGCACCTCTATGTGATTTTATAAGATTATTAATTAATACTTTGCATAAAATGTCTAAATCATGTGATTATAATTCTTTAAAAACTAAAACAATTTACTCTCTACCAATCATATTTTTGGTCAAATAGGCAAGTGAGGTAGTTCCTTTTTAAATAAGTGAGTAATTGAATTAATTAAGTAATTCATAGTTTTTCTTTAAATCACTATTGTCCAAGTCAAAAATCATGAAATCACCTTTTTATTGTATTATTGATGACTTTTATTGATGACCATATAGAGTAAGGTCAATTAATATGTAAATTTAGTTGACCTCCCTAATGGAGATATTAAATGACCAATTATTATATGTCTCTCTATATAATTTTTTAATAGGGAGCTGATATTAACGCTTCACAAATATATTCTGGCTTTCCACCTCCTCATTTTAATAAATATAATTACCAAACTATCCTATTAGTATTTAACGTCAAGTCGTCAACTATGAAAGTTCTACATCTCTTTTTTTCTTGTGTTGTGATTTGTTTACTCTAAGATATATATATATATATATATATATATATATATTTTCTTTTTACTTTAACTTCATCTTAAAGTTAAAAAGTAATGTATTTAATCAGTAGAAAAAAACATGAGTTGGAGGCTTACTGCTAAAGAAGAATAATTTTAAAAAAAATTAATTTGAAAATTGCTATTTATTTTCTAATAATAATTTGTATCTATTTTTGTGTTAGTGATTTTGGAAAGGTTAGAATTGTATCCCAATCCAACACACACAAGATTTTCAGTACAAAAAAAACAAAGACTGAAGACACAACAATGGTGGAGACAGTAGCCACCACCAACCACCGCCACCCCCGACACCCCGCTACCACTTGTAGCAGCCAAAGGCCTATTTTTTTTCTTCCAACTGAGCAGCTCCAGCTTCACTTCTGCATCCAATCTAACCCTTCCTGGTGTCATCTCTCTTTTATGTTTTTTTATGATTTTTTTATTTGGTCCTCTAAAATTATGCTCATTTATATTAAAGGATTCGTGTTTTTTTTTTTTTTTTTTGAGTGTATCTATGATTTATTTTTGTACTTTCACAGACACAGTAACCACATACACATTATGCTCATTTTAACATTAAGATGAAGTTAAAGTTTAAAGAGAATTTAATAATAATAAAAAAAAAAAAAATAGAGTAAACAAATCACAACACAAGAAAAAAAAAAATGACGTAAAACTGATGTTAAATATTTAGAGGGTGGTTTGATAATTGTATTTGCTAAAATAAGTAGGTGGAGTGTCAGAGTATATTCGTGGAGTGTTAATATTAATTCTCGATTAGAAAATCACATAGAGATAAATATAATAATTGGTCATTTAATATCTCCAGTAAGGAGGTCAACTAAATTTAAATATTGATTGACCTAACTCTGTATGGTCATCAATAATACAATATAAAGGTGATTTCATGGTATGTGACTTGGACAATAGTGATTTCAAGAAAAAATTAAAAATTACTTAATTAATTCAATTACTCACTTATTTAAAAAGGAACTGGACCTCACTTGCCACTATTTGATCAAACATATGATTGGAAGAGAGTAAATTGTTTTTATTTTTAAAGAATTATAATCACATGATTTAGCTATTTGATGCAAAGTATTAATTAATATTCTTATAAAATCATATAGAGCAGCAAATATTAGATGGCCAGCTAATTCTTCAAGCAATTTGGCCAACTAAATTTAAAGATCAGTTCACCTCACTTGTGATTTTGTTTGACCAAGGCATTAAATTCGAAGAATAAAATATTACTCTTTTTTTCAAGCAAGGATAATCACCTATTAAATTGCATAACATAATATGGTCCACAGTTGTTATATATATATATGTAAGATTGCAAACACAAGAGTTGCACCTCATCCCAATTTCAAACCTTAATTCTTTCCTTTCCAAGGAACTCATAAAAATGAG